CATCCACCAGATAAATGGTTGTAGCAAATGTTTGACTGTTTAGCAAGTCAGTGATTCTTGTCGACCAACTCGGTTGCCAATTCGCCGTATCCACACACAAAGCAGGCAGAGTTTTTCGGGATGAAGTGAAGCCTGTTTTAGTGAGTGGGTTGTGGAGGGATATCCACCTCCACCTCATTTCAAGTCACTTATCAATCCATTGAAGAGGGCGTGTCGCAATGTCCGACTTTCCTGGTTAATCACTCAAAGTTAAAGCGTTCTTAATGTTCCTCCGCTCCACTCCTCGACATAATCAGGAGAGGGAGGCACTCAAGAACCTAGTTTGTTGACACAGTCAAATCCCCTAAAGCATTTCGAGACGGTAGTTTATTCTCCTGTCGTGCTTCCGCAGCCTGGCAACCTAATTAAAACTTGGCTCGTAAGTCTGTCAGACGAGCGCAAGTCGCGCCTTTAAGCTTTAGCCAACATTACTGCAAAACAAACACTTAAAATTTTAGAAAAATAAAACACAACACAGTAGAATGGCACGTGCTAATGGAATAATGTGGTTTTTGGCCACTTTAAATCGCCTCTATTAAATGCGCGCATTGTAAAAGCCACGATGTGTTGGAATAAATTTCGTCACCCCTGTAATAAGTTCCTTTGGGAAATTATATCCTCGTTCGTAAGCTTTCCAGTTAATCTGTCCTTTTCTCCCAGTTAGCGGTAGCACCTCTATGGAATTCCATCGGACATTTGCCCCTGAAGCATCCCAAAACATCACCGTTTAGGCGTTAATACTCGCACCTTACAACCCACTCTACTGCAAATAAGCGCTTCTTTCGTAGTTATTTTCCGGAAAACTATGCTTATTTATTATTCATTTCCACCTTACTGCTCTCGTACCTTCAAAGGCTAGAGGGAGGGAGGGAGAAAGGGAGAGGAGGGTGTGGAGGAGAGGGAGAGAGGACTGGGTCATGAAATTTGGAATTTCACCTAACTTGGTGAGTTAATGCACTCAAAGATGGTTACTTTAAGCCAGAATTTTTCATAACTAATTGGACAATTAAAAGGTGGTAAAGCCTCCAGTTTGCTTTTGTTTAAATCAACTTAAAAACGTTTTACGCGGAAGATCTTGACATCGTTGCCATTCGGAGATTATCAAGCTATTTTTCGACGAAGAAAAAATAAGCTTGTTCCCGGTTAAGCAATTTTTTAAGTAGATGGAACCAAAATATGGAAGAATTTTCTCTAATTGGCTCACCACGGCCCCTACATACTACTGTATCCACTACTTATGGCTGCTAAGTGACTCCCATTTTATTAACAGGGGTCCCACCTCACACGCATCCATTCTATAAACTTCTGCGTCAATTTATCCATCACTCTGTCCAAAATACTGTCCATTTTAGAAACAATAGTGGTTATTAACAAGCGCACTGTCCCTTGTTTGGTGGAGGCACTTCTACCGCGATCTGTTTAAACTCGCCTCTTTCCAGCTAAACGAGTGAAGGCGATCTCTGCGGCCTCCACGCATTTCCATGCCCCACTTATAAATTATGACAAGTCTAAATCTTTTTCTTATTTTCCCTAAGAGTCGCACAAGTTTCTTTTGCAATTTTTGCTTTTCTTTAAGCTTAAATTCAGGTTTACATGATCTGTCACCCATACGTGACAATATCTTCGTACTGCGATACGTTGCCCGTTTGTTCAAACCTCGGTTTTGGTAGCGGGATCACTTAGGGCTCTGCCATCGAACCTTTACCGCTTGGGCTGACCTCAAGCCTATCTGTAAGTTGGCAGTACATGTTCCGCCCTAATGTCATGCCTCCTTTCGTATTCAAGGAAGTCCCGAGGTGCCACGCATGTGTCTTCTTTTGCAAGAAAAATATATTTCACAAAATTTTCTTTTGATTACTTTGTGCTAGGCGTCTGGGAATCGGTGGATCTGCTTAGAGGATTTGTGACGGAAAAAATCACCTCTGAGTCAACAACTGGTATCTAATTTTAACCATTGCATTGTTTTGTCGAACCGTTTTTTTTTCCCGCCACACTGTTAATCGCTCTACCTTTGCCAAAATAAATGGCTTTTGACTAAATTCGACGAAGTCTTTTCCCGAAATCGGCTATATAATTTGGTTGGATAAATTGTAGTCCGTTTTTCGTTCGCCAAAGCCATGTGGATGGTCAATTTAACAGGGGAAGAAAATAAAAACAAACATCTTCACAAAACCTTTGCTTTACACTTTGATGCTCCTTCTTTTGGTGAAAGAAAAGGTCTTCTTCTTTAAAAAAACGCTTATTTGCGGCGATTTTTGTGAGACCACTTCAGCACTTATCACTCAGTAGACATCACAGGCACCAACCATGCTTACAAACACCTCTCCACTTTGACAAAAGAACGAAAAAGGCATTTCTATTTGGTTTGTTAAAAAATATACCTTTTGTTAATTAATCTGTCAGATTTTGGGGAAAATGAACCCCTTTGGTGGAGGGGGCGGGGAAGAGGGATGACATTATCACCTTCAAGTCACCATTTAGGTTAGGATTTTGCAAACAAATTTACAGCTTTTAGAAAGAAAATGATATCTCACTTTTTTATATTTACTGAAGAAAATAATAATAATTGTTTTGACTCACATAACCGTCTGACTTTGAACTGGACTGTATACTACTAGGTATATTAAGTAGGACTTTCCGTTACAGCCGCCTTGACCTCTGAAATCTCTCCATATTGTAATTAGGCTTTGACCAAGGAAAAAATAATTTCCTCTCCCCACCTTCTAGCTTCTCAAATCAAATTTTGGTCTTTTTTCTTCATTAATCTTCTGAAAACCAATGTTATTACGTCCTGAGTTTTTGTACCTCAAACTCACCGGATTTAGCAGGAGATTATTGCTGGTCAATTCTGCAGATCCATTCAATAGACTGCTCCCACAGTACAAATTGATTCACTGCTTCCCATCAGCACTCACAACCTAAACCTGGGCTCCATTGTTTGGGCTCACTGCAAAATGTCGCCCATTTTCTGCTTACAATAGAATCCATTGACCAAACTGCAAGGCTACTTTATGCAGTAAGGAAAATCTCGCTCTTGGGCCATTTTAAAAATCTTTTTGAGGGTTTATTTTTACCCCATTCCCAAAACTGCCCCCTTTTTGACACAACATCTGACTTTGCACTTTACTGTGCCATTTGGGGGAAAAATACGACTTCAGTTTAGGGAGTGAAAGTTGCTGCTTCTTCACTCCACCTTTGTGTAGGCTACTCACGTCTTAAGCACTCGTGATACGGCAAATGAGGAGAAATTGCTGTTTAACAACTCACCAATTCCCTATCATCCAACACATCACGAACACGATCATCCCAGTCGAGGATACCACCATCCCGGGCGAGGGTTAAAGCCTCCACAATGAAGAGAGTGGCAGTGGGATGACGTTGGCGGGTTAATCGGGCCTCCATCTCACCGACTGCGTGAACCACAGCAGATGTCGCCTCGGACGCCTCCGTCATTGACTCCGACAATGCCTCTGCATCCATCATTGCCACTGGACCTGTTAGAGCCGAGTCTGAGCCTTGGGGCAGGGCACTTCCTCGAGGAATCTGTTTAGTGACAAGTGACAAACCACCTTTGGATATTCTCTCTTTAAACCAATTCTGTGTATCTCTTGATTTTTGGGGGTTGATTTTTAGCAGTTGCTTCCTTTTCAAATTAACCGCCAGAAGAATGGTCATCTAGTTTGGCCTCAGATTAACCCAAAATTCTTGTTTACAAAAACCAAAAATAACGTGATTAGTAAACTCCTAGAGTAATATTGAGGTTAGTTCATCCCTCCAAGGAGACAAAAAACTGGCTAGTTTTCCTTGTCAAATCTTTTTTGCCTCCTTCAACCCTCATTTACCCATCCATCAATCTAATCCCTCCATCCACCAGTAATTCATACACCGCGGTTTCAAAACACCTTAACGGCCTCCAATCATCAATTACAGATCTCCCTTTCAGATTAACAACCCACCCATCCACCCTAGTCACATTGTGGCAACCTGATGGAGGAGGTAAACCAAATTCCTCTTTCTGTTTCGGAATGCCTTTGAGGCAAAGTTGAGGCCGCACCTCGGTTGGATGGAGATGGATTCTATGGCATGGCCCCCTATGAAACATTGATGTTTGGGGGTTGCGTAAGTCCACGGAATGGAGGGGGGAAATGGCGGGTCCAATAAGTTGTAGGAGTGAAGGTCCCTCCTTAAAGTAACCTAAAAATATTCTCCCCTTTTTTCAAAAGGTTGCCCTACAAAATAGTTTACATCTACCTGGTATTTCTGATATTTTGAAATTTTTGAGTAGTTACTTGGATTTGAGGTATCAGCTGTCCTGTTGAAGACTCCGGCCCAGCCCACAGACAGCGCTTCTCCAGGAAATTCATGAACTGAGGATCTATCACCCTAGCCAGCGATTTATAAAACTTGTCTTTAGTATTTGGCTTCTAAGGTTGTTGTGGGGAATAGCTCAGCTAATTTACTTCTCGCGCCCTAAGAGACGGCGCATAATAAACAAAAAATTTACGAGGGTTTTTTACTCTTTAATCTAGGGAGAAGGTAGTATTTATTTGTTGGCGGTTAGCCCTCAGATACATTTTAACGGTTTTATTTAATGACTTGTCGAAATTCACTTGCCAAAAAATCTTTTTTTAGGAAACGGGGTATCAGCGCTCCAATTGCAAAAAATCGCGGACTGATTAGTAGAAGGCAGAGTGTCTGATTGGCTGATAATTTTCATATTTATTTAGGAATTTTGCCACCGTTTTACAATGAAAGTAGCAAGTTTTGAGAAAAACTTTGTTTTTTTACCAGAGAGAACGCAGTTAACTCATTCATTTCTTCATTAGGGGATATTTCAAGGCATTACAGGCATAAGCAACGTGGGATTTTTACCGGACACTGATGAGTAGGTGTAATAAAAAAAAAATTCGTCAAACTTTTGTAAGGTGTACATTTCTTTACCATCTTTCCCATTTTGAGACTCGTCGTTATCTTATTCATGCGTAAAAGAGTCGCTTAAACGAGCAACTCTCTTGGGTCTCTGAAATAACAAAATCTCAGTTGCTAAAAAGGCCCATTTTTTTCAGATGGGCAGAGAAAAAACAACCCGCGCTCCTCCTATTCTATGAGCTTATTATCTTTTTGCTCATTTGGGCAAAAAACTTTTTATTTTCTATCAGTAGGTGACTTGGGAATTCCCCCAACGAATGAATACGTTATGCCTTCCTCGACCTTCCTTCAGCGCATCACGTACTCTGAAGAGTAACAAGTCTTCAAAAAGGAAGGAATTCACATTTTTTGGCGTAGGACATGCTATTTGTAAGAATCAATTGTTTCTTCACTGTCTTTCATGCTTCACTTATCTTAACACGACTCTCGGTGGATTTGCGCCGGTAGCACAACATATTTGTTTGTAGTACAGAAGGGGAGGAAATTCTACAGTCAAGCAAAGCTGTTTTACTGGAATTTCAACCTTATGCATTCTAAAATTCTTAACCTGGACAAGGAAATTCCTTTCTAGCGTGTAAATTGTGGAGGTGGAAAGAAGTGTTTCCCGGGATATCGGTGGAGACTCCCACCTGAAACAGCCTAAGACAACTTTGTGGACTTGCGAATCTCTTGTCAATCCTCTAAGTATAGCCACTAAGGAGCAGATATGCTTAGCGAACCAACTTCACCCCGGTTCCAAGGCTGCGGGGGACACTCGTAAGGTTGGTATTGCGTCGCGGCCAAATAAAAGGGAGTTAAAGCCGTTGAACTACATCAGGTTCTACAATTACGGTAGTTAATGTGGACTTCTGCCAAAATTTCTCGTGGAGGTAAAATAATCTTGCGCCACATTTGTGCTTTATAAGACTCCTGCAATTTATAACCGAATAAACAAGTTGCCCATAAAAGTTAGACATATCTTAGACAGGAGAATGACATGCTTTTCTAATGACACAAAACAATCGCACTATGGGGTATCTAGAAGGCTAGAACAATAAAATTCCGGTTTAAAATACTGGGAATTTTATCTTCTCGGAAGCTAATTCTCCAGACAATGAAAAGATTTCGCTTTTAGAGTTTTCGTCAAGTTTGCTCCGCTGACAAATAGGAGACGAGGACGCACCCCATGCACGCTTACAATCACTGGTAGGGTCAAGGCCATTTAAGTTACTTTTAAATCGTTAGAATTGAGCCGTCCATGCTCTAATTACACATCCGTCCTTTGTTTGCTCATACTCATCGGCGAATGAAGTCTCCGTCTTTCGATTACTCCGGTAAGGAACTTGACAAGATGTAAGGTCACATCAACACCAGTTCATGACCCAAAGATGTATGAATGTTCCTCTTTTTCGATTGGAGGTCAGAAAAGCTCCAATTAAGTCATGTTATTTTAACCCGCCTAATTTAAGGCGTCAAAATTGATGTATTTACTTGGAGGGAACAAAAATGCACACAAAGAGGGGAAAATACTATGTATCGAGGCGCTTCAGGTACCTAAACATCTGCTAGTTAAGTAACTTTTAGTTCCAAACCTTCCAAGTTTAAAAAAACATTTAAAATGTTTAAATTTTGGGGTTTAAAACGCACGTATTTATTCTTGCCATTAAGTAAATTTTCTCGCCTTAAACTTAATCCGTGATTTTGTCGGACAGTTTGAGGAGACGAGGATTTACTGTTTTATTTTGAACTGAAAGAACAAAAAGGGAGAAATTTAAAACTTCCTAGAAGGTTTGGGTCTTTCAAAACTGCAGAAAGAATGGTAAAAAGGTTTTGAAACTCAAGGAGTCGGAGACCGGACTACATAAACCTTTCCGGGGTTGCTCTTCTAGCAGTCGCTGAATCAACAAACCCGGCTGGTTGTACAGAATCAGGGTTCGTGAGAGCAAAATAATTTAAAATGATGCTCTGATCAACCAAAACAAGAAGTGTGACCTCCTTCCTTTGCTTTCCTTAACATTTAAGGAGTTCATGGATAAAACACAGCATTCAAAGGTTCAACTCCATATGCGCATGACGCAGTCTGATTGAGAAAGCAAGGAATTTAAAAATTTATTGTCAAAATTTTCAACACCTCGACCAGAAATGTCAAAAACTGTCCTTTTTATTCAAAAAAATCCCCAATGAAATGACACTCCAGCGCTCCCTCTCTCAAAACGCATCCCACCTTTCTTCGTGGCAGTCACATTCATCAGCCCGTGAGGGGGTGAAAAAAAATAAGGAATCAAAAGGCCTACAAAAAAATTTAAACATCTTTTCCCCAGCCTTGTCTTTCTCTCCTCTAGAAGCAGGCAAAACTGCAGGGGAAACAAAAGTCGACAGACTCGATGATGAAACCAACAAGAGGAAGTGAAGATATTCCAACGCTTTGAAAAGTCATTAATTATTCATCGCTGCCTCCTTATTTGTGCTCTTTCGCTCTCTCTCTTCAACTCGCTCTCGCTTCATCACTTCCAGGATTAAAAAGAACAGTTAACTTCTGTGCTTTCAAAGGCAGTGGAATTCAATTGGTGGGTAGGATTTGCAAATGAAACGAAAGGGCTGTGAGGTGATAGGGACAACTCTTTTCACCTTTCAGACTGCCAAATTTCTCCCTCTCTTTAATACATCAAAGAAATCGCGGAATTTATTAGTTAATTAAATTTTCTCAAAGATAGAGGATTACACCGAAGGGAGGTCAAAACCCAGTGATGAAATGAGGCGGGCGGAGGGCGGGAGCGGAGAAAATTGAGGAGCGAGGGAGGAGGGAGCAGGGCAGTTTCTTTTTTTAGTTCCTTCTCAATTCTTCACCTTTCCAAAGGCTAGTTCTAACCTAATTTACAACGCACTTTTTTCTTTTTAGTTCTTCCAAGAGCGAGATAAGAGTGAGGTACAATGATGGAGGTCTAATTGCTAGCTGAGACTTTTAATCGTCTTATTTTCTGTGTTACTTGAAATGGAAAAATGTGTGTTCTCGCATGACCCACAAAAGGCGGGACCGCTCCGAAACCCGCATCTCCTCCATTCCCGTGTAAATCAAGTTTTCTGCCCACTTCAAACAATTTTGAGAAGTAAAAGAATTGGAAAGTTAGGAGGTGAATCAACCGGGTGACATTGAAGCATTTATTTCGAATAAATCTCAATTTTGTCTTTTTTTTCTGGTTTAATCGGGCACAAGTACTTTTAAAATAAATGAGTTGTTAGTGGATAAGGGATCGAGCGAAATTCCGGAGGAACTTCATCAGACCTTGCCCCTCAAATCTGACAACTATTGACGTTGAAAGGTGTTCCTGATATTACCAGATAAACATGGATTTATGTTTTCGGCTTTGAATGAGCCGCTTCTGGTGAAGGAAAAAAGTATGTGCAATGACGGCCCCAAACTACACAAAGGGTGCAATTCAAAGGCTTGACGGAGGTAAAGATGGATTCGGCTTATAGAGAGAAGAGTAAAGGGACGCTTTCTCCATCCTCTACGATCTGTTCTATACGGATAAGTAAGGAGGAAAGGTTGACGTCTCTTTCATGGAATCCCACCAATTTCGCACCAGTCATTAAAATGGGGCTCTATTGCATCAAGATTGGCATCCACCCCTTCGACGATTACGAAAATTCGGAGAGACTTGAAATGCGTCTGTGATAAGGGGATATTTGGAGTGCCTATCTTCAAACTTTGTCTACAAGAGAAGGCACCAACTTTAGTCAACAATCCAAAAAAGGCATTTTTTGACAAATAATTAACTGACCGTGTAATCATCTAATTTCATAGACACTTTACTCGGCAAAGAAGGAAAAGCACCGAATTCGCTCAACAGTCCCTTCATTTTTCCCACCTTTTCCTCATTTTTTGGTGCTTAAACGGCTAAAATTGTTTATTTGAGCCATTTTTTTACCACTCTGTATATTTATGAGGTCAAAATTCCCCTCCGTCTGCTTGCATCTCCTGTTGGCTACCAAATGGAAACAACTTTCCTCCCGAGACACCTTAATAGTTCAGCTCTGCCTAATACCAAGTCACCTGTCGCTTGAGGGACAGGAAAGGCATAAATACGTAATGAGCTTGTGTAGGAGGTCTGTCTCTTCCAGTAATTTATGTATTACCCAAATTAACTAGTCGTCATGTTATCAGTGAAAAAATAATAATAAAATGAGTCGGTTTTCTCGGAATTGGCTTAAAAAGGGGCGCAAGGATCAGTAAGGGTAACTTTGACTCCCCCTTCCTTCCTCCAACATCCACCGAAATTTGACTCCTTTGCCCAGGAGCAGAGTGCTTCGTCCGGTTAGCAATAAAAGAGGCAAAATTTCAACAGAGGGGTATTGCTGTAACACCTGGCAAAATGAAGGACAAGTTCGCAAAAATGCAATAGAGCCGAACACTTTTTTTTTCATTTCGGCAGCAGAAAAGGCATTTTTAACAAAACGAGGACTGTCACTCCAAATTTGAAAGACAATGTCAAAAAATTTGTCGGCTTTTTTGTCACTCTGCGTTACCCGTGTGCCTTAGCAACATGGCTCTAACTCGGTTACAGTATTTAAACAAATTTAAAATTCTTTTAATAGAAAGGAAGCCTTTTTCCGTAGTGGAATCAACACTTAGAAAAAAAAGAAATAAACTCGCAGTTTTTTATTTAAAAACCTTAATGAATGTCCGCCGTCTCAACCAATCAGAACAGCCGATTGGGGTGCACGGATCGGTTAACTATTGGAGGATCGAGTAGGTTTACGATTTGGCAATAATCAGCTTTCCAAAAAAATTTAAAGTATGTCTTCTTAGTAAATACTTGTTAAGGCATGTGTATGATTCCCGTGTTTCATTTTATTGGTTTAAATGGATAACTTTAGTATGTTTTCTTCCTTCTCCGCAATTGATTAGTCAGTTATTCAAAAAAAGCCCCTTTCTTGTAAAAAAGAAGGTCAGTTTCCAAAAAGTTCAAATCTGGGAACTTCAGTGATTTAGTAACTCGACTGCCCTTTCTTTGCCCCTTTAACTCATTTCGTTGAACTGTCTGGATGACACACCGGTCATCAGAGCTGAACAAGCCAAAAAGGCGCGCAAACTCCCCATCTCCCCATAGTTAAGAGACGCAAAGACTGCGGTGCTATGCATTTAGGGCCTTTACTTCCCTTCAGTAATAAATTTTTTGCTTCAGTGGGTTGTTTTGTGGTTACAAATAAGAATTTTGTGGAGAACTCGACTCCTTTGAAACAGGACAGATCGCATGTATAGAACCACCAGGTTTTCTGTGAGCAAGGCCTTCAAAAGAAGTTAATATCCGGTAACTTAGACTAGCAAATATGAAGAAAAAATATATTTTTGTCAAAAAGGGGTAAAGTTTGACTAAAATGAGACCCACACAAACCCTAAACAACAAAATCGAAAGTTATAATAGCTTATCCAAAATGAGGCCATTTTTCCCTTCTAAATTTTTTCCCTCCTTTTTCATACGGAAAAAGCTAAATAAAATTTCAATTTTTGCGATATATTACGAACACTGAAATGGGCAATCTATTGATTTTGGTAGATAGCGTTGACAACCCCAAATTTGACACCTGATAACTCTGACCTCAAACTGCCAATATATGTCAGTAAGGCCACGAAACGTGTCGGAATGGGAGGTAAGTTTATTTGACCAGTTCCCTACAGCGTGTGATTTTACTGACTAAAGAAAATAGCGCAATTTTTCCATCAAGAGGGGAGACTTTGTCAAAATGACAACTACTGCAGAACAGCATTTTCCAGCATAGTGTAGTAAAACTGTGTGAACTTTCCTGTCTCTAGGACCGACACCACCATCTCTAACGGTAATGCCTCCCGGCTGGTACCAAATTCTCCCCCTGACAGTAAATCGCTTCACCCGGTGTTGACACGTTTCATAGCAGCCAATGTGGAAGATGACCTAAGGCACTGAACCAGTGACAGCGGTGGGTAAAGTGGATTAAAATGGGCAAACGATGAATAAATAACCAAAGGATTGAAGAAAAAAGCGTCTGCTATGGACACCGGAGGAAGCATCAATGGCAACCCCCCTCATCACGACTTCAATGCGGTGGAGATGCACAAATGAAGCCACATCCAGTTGGAAGTCTTCGAAAACGCCCGTTATGGAGGTTATATCGCTCCTCCTAGTCTCCGTAGCTAAGTCGAAATCAAGCAGATGACAGGGCGTCAAACAGTCGGTGAATCTCAAAAGTCTACTTTACGGGGAGGGCAAAATCGTGGCCAACGAGGATGACGAATCTTGCCGCCTCGATAATAAGACCCGTGTTTGAACCCCATTCTTAATTTCTACGTGAATTTGAAGTTATTGAGTACTTTGTGATGGCCAACGCGGAAGAGGGACTATAAGGAAGCTTTTTGTGTCGTACCATTCAGGTTACCTCTATCAACAGTCCTGCCCTCCAGATTCCTGTACTTTATAGCGTCTACAGGGAGGACTAGGACACAGCGGACACAAAGCCGACTCCTTCGAATTGATCACTTATGCACGAATAAGAAGAACTTTGATCTTCACGACACCCTTTCAAAGAGGATAGTTAAGGACCATGTCTAGAGATAGTATCAACATTCCAGGGGAGAAGCTTTCGGGGGGAGAAATAGGAAATCAAACCATTCGGTTATGCCCCCAGTAGGCAAAATTATAATTCGCCCTCTACTGGGCACAAAACGAACGCAAAAAAGTTTTGACCATCTTTGCGCAGTTTCATAGACAATAGACAAAATGAAATTCTGATTTATTTCTGATTTCCTTGTTTTGTAAACAAAAAAAAAAACAATTTTTTGCCTTTATGGGAGGAGAATGGTGATGGTGTTGATAAGAGCCCCGCTTCAATTTTTTTTCTTCCCTCACCATGTAATCACGAAAATATGGTTCAAAATGCAAAATTCTTTTTACAAATCGTTAAAAAAGTCTCAGAAGGCATTAAAATTTTTTTCTTGGGGAATTTGCAATCAAGTTGTTTGGTAGTATTCCGTCGCTAGGTGAAGCAATGCCAAGCGTAAAAAAAACATTAGAGTCATATAATTTTGGCATTTGAATGCACATTAACTGGTGCCTGAAATGCCAAACTGGCCACAAAACGCGCGCATAAACATGAAATTGCAGGAGAGTGGGTTAGAACCGTTAAAACCATCACAGTCGATTATGCACCCCAAAAATAGGGGAGCCAAAAAAGGGACAAGTCATTTGTGTTTATAAAAGTGGCCTCATGTGGACAATGGCCCCCATGACATAAAACTCCAACTGTTGGAGAAATGGTGGTACGTAAAAAATCCCACTTGATTTCCACTGTTTTTATTGGTCAATATTGGGCCAATCATATCACGGGGCGCGGGACTTGAATTCAGGTTGTAAGGAAATCAAGATTTTATCGAAGTTTCGGATATGGCGCAGCACTTTATGAAACGAGTTATTTAGGGCTAACTTTGTTTTACCAAGAGGTGATTAAAGATACAAAAAATTTTCGCCTAAAAACAGCTGGAAAAGGTCAACAGGATTTTTTACAGGGCAGGGAAATTTATGGCTGCGTGTAGTTGACGGTAACAACTATTTTGCCTTAGGGATGTGCGGTGTAAGGGAGGGAAAGGAGTGTGTTTATATCGGTGGGAGAAAAAGTCGTGTTGACAGGCGAACTTTGCACATTTTAAATCCTCCCTAAAGTTACTTGCACCACCACCATCCGCATCATCATGCAACTTGGAATTTTTCGCTGGAAGAGGTAAATGGCTTTCATTCTCCTTATCTGGAAATATCATAGGCTCAAAAAACGTTAGTCTGATTTCCAGTAAAGCTGGTTGCGGTTATTTTGCTCAAGCAGGAAGAATTGGTGAAGACTAACATCCATTAAGGAGTGCAGACAGCTACGCGGTTGCAAGGGCACCAAAACTGGTTGTCGAAGTTGCAGGAGGCGCAATTTTAAATGGTCCGTCGCCTAATTTACTCAAGCGATGAGGCAATTGAGAGTGAATATGAGAAAGCATTAGCAGATGGGAGGGGAACTTCAAAGTCTTCCAACTCCTTCTTAGGTTCTGTCTGCCTGTGGCAATGTCGGGCCCATTTTTCTTACTGACTAGCTGACTGAGTGACCTGAGGTAGCTTTTGCATTCCAAAGTTAAGTAAACGGACATATAATTGGGTACCATCGGACAATCCACTAGAGCACTCACCCCTTTATGCCTCGAAGACTGGTACAATGCAGACAGATTCGCTCACTGTGACCTAATGATCTGCTAAAGGTTAGACAATATTGGTTGGGGTCTTTTCCATACACAAGGCAAACCGCCTCCGGGAGAAGCCAAGTCTTTCCACCTAATCAGAAGGTGTTGAAAGGCCTCGTATTTCCCATGGGTAGTGAGTGGTGGGCGCAGGGGGGCGGAACAAAGGGAAAATGTGCTCCCTAATCTTTTATTTTCTTCTCGAAGCTGGACAACCACATGGGAGGCAAGGTGAACAGATAAGAATTACGGTAGGGGGGGGGGGAATGGGGAAGGACCAAATCGGAGGTGGCTAGAGCCAAGTCTATCGCTTCTAGAGTCAAGTCGTCATGTCATAAAGAGGAGAACAGAAAACAAGTAAGCAAACTTATCTATTTCTAGAGGAAATGTTTTGAATTATTTAACCTTAAAAGTACTTATTTACATCACCTTGGAAACACTCCCCTTTCGTCAATGATGCAAACAAAGAAGACGTAACAGTGGCTCCCTCCCTCCACCACCTCAAACAAAAGAGGGATAAATTATGCAGAATTCTTTAACAGAAAAAAAGAGGACATGATGCTTGGGAAAAAAAAGAGTTAAAGCAGCAGCAGAGGTATCTTTCTGTCAAACGGGACAGGCGGGATCGTTTCCGTAGCGAGTAGACAATGAAACGACAATAAGGCGTTGGGAACAATACACCCCTGCCCTGTGTGTGTATGTGCCCGATTCTTCAGACAAGGCTTTTCCCACAAGATTTGGGTTGCAGCAGAATTTTATAATTTACTTATTAAAGTAAGGGGAAAAGAGAACCAAAATTAGTCTGTCGAAAAAGAGGAAAGTTTAGATGATGTGTACCTTCATGGGAGGTGTTGCCTCGTCAGAGGGTGCATCTACGCCATTATGTGAGATTTCTAAGTAAGGATTGTTACCTTTTCGGGGCTTTGCAAACCCAAAGAAGAGGACTTGGGTAGTCGAATAGGGTGAGAGAAGAACGGGGTAACCTTGCCTGCCTAAGGGATATTGGACTAGGTTAAAATATCGTGATCCGACCTTGAAGCGACCTTGCAGGGCATGACCTCCTTCCCAAAATGTGTGCATGGTGTAAGTGACAGTTCTGGGGGGGGTTGGTCCTTTTTACCCCCTTTTGGGGCCCCTTTCACCCCGCTTATGATGGAAGGGGTAGAGGCTTTATACAAATTTGATCAGAGAAGAGACAAGAGTCTATCCTTATTTTTCACACCATCTCCCAACCGCAAAGACGTTTTGTTATAATCATTCCTCTCCTTGCTTGAGGACCCAAACAGAGAGCAGACTTTCCCCTTCTTAAGGGCACCAATTCTTTGCTGATGCTGCCTTTAGGTAGGAGAAAAAAAAACAAAGAACGCACCAGAATCGCAGTTCCTGTTGGCCCAATAGTATAACCTCCCTAATTGCAGAAATTACAAGGAACTACGGCTTTTTACCAAAAGAAAGAAAAGAGGTTCAATTTTCAAATTACCCGAAATCTTGGCACATTGGACTTAACCTGGGGAGGAAAAGCAAGGACTGCCAACTCATTAGCTGATAAATTCGGTAGGTAAGATGGTCTAGTGCTTTCTCGTGAGGATAAAGCCTATCAATGATTCGACAGATGATAAACTTCATCTCCAAGCGGATAAAGTGGTTTTAAAATCACGACAGTAAAAAAGTCAAATAAAACTACTTTCAAAAGCAGTAAGTAGTATATGCGCCTCCTAGAGAAAATTAAAAGCCGTTAAAATGTCAAGGAAGCGTTCAAGAGTTTGCCCAGAACTATAGGCTGTAATCAACCCGAAAAGGAGAAAAACGATTTGTCCTTCCGCATCTGGCAGTGATTCTAGGGGCACTAAAGGCCAATGACCTTCCACAAAAGTACAGTTAGGGCGGAAGCCGCTTTTTTCTAGCAAAGAAAACGGTCAAAATATCCGCTTTTTGATGTTTTTTTTTCTCTTTTAAGCAGCACGTTAGTCATTTCCTGCATATTCAACCATAGAAGAGTTCGTATAATCTAGCAGAAATTCAAGAAATAGCAGTTTGTTTTCGGGAAAAGGGGGGAGGGGCTACCTCAGGAAAGGCCGTCATGGGAATCATCGTGAGCTGCGCCATTTCATACAAGTTATTCTCCCAAAAAAAAGCTATTTGCCAAGCTTTACTTCGTGTGCTATTAAGAAAACCCGCCAAGTCTCCTCCCTTGTAGTATATAGTTTAAAGACCTTCCAAAAGGGGTATCGACTTGACTGAGACCCCTAGTACGAGTTGGGCGCAATACCTGTGTTTATATGCAAAATCTTGTTAAAAAACCACTTTTATCTCATTTAATTGCACTAAATAATCGTGGTTTGCTGCTAAATTCTCCCTCTCCTTTTCCCCCGCCCATCCGGGTGGTGAACTATGTCCATCTGCTGGAAGGCGAGTGGAAACACCCAAATGAGGATCCAAAAGAGGTCCACATTCTGACCCCATTTGCAGACAACAATATCGTCAGGCTTGGAAAATGGGTTTGCCCTTGCCCCCTTTTCTTCTTGATGAAAAAAACTACCGCATAAAGTGAAGGGATTATTGAGGCACCCATTTAGATTTTCTCGATGAAGATGGGCAACGAATAGAAGAAGGCTGTTTCCTGGGAGGTTATTCAGAAACTCCGCTGCCTGCTTCAAAATGCGTAATGCCTACAGAGGGCATGGAACCCAGGCTACCAATCTTAGTGTGGTCTATCCAAATTGCCGATCGTAATGAAGGTGGTTAAAACACACCTCTCGTTTAGATAAAAAAGGGTTGGAGAAAAAACACAAAATTTAGGTAAACTAAACCATTTCTTTAAATTTATGTCAAATTAGGCCCTAGTAAAGTTGCATCTATATCTTATTTTCCCCCACCTCCATTCACCCTCTCCGCCGCCTCGCCTGGAATTTGGGAGGCTGGATTTGAAAAGGCGGGACATCGACGGAACGATGGAAGGTGTGCCCTAACTACTAAAGTTTAAAGGAGTGATGCGACAGTACAAGTGGTGAATGACTAGGCTAGAGTGTCAATTATGGCAATTTTGACGGAGTTAATGTCACTTTGACTCAACGGTGATCCTTAATCTAGGATGAGAGGGAAGATGAGTAGCGAAAAGTGAACAAAAAAGACGAATTAGTTGTAGACCAGATAAATTTTTGGACCCAAAGAGAAGTGCCAACAGTAGACAACCGATAGTGTTGAAGAGCTGAACCGATTTGCTCAAACAAACCTAAAATTTCGAAGTCTGCTAGAAGACGGCCATATCATATCAGTGGATGGATCGCCAGAAGAAGGAACAAGAAACGAGTGTCCCTTGACTAAATAGTGATTGACAGTAATAATGTAAGCATTTTTTTCGTCAAATTAACTCTGATTAAGAGATTACTTCTTGATCCTTGTTAAGAGGGAAGAAAAGGCGCCCATGGAACTGGGAGCAAAACAAATTATGCACTGGAAATCTGACTAAACGCAGCCTCCGTCATTCACCGTGAGAATTAGGTACACAACAACCGGAACTTTTTTTTAGATTAACCAAAGCTTCAGTATTAAAGATTGACCTTTTACCAATGCAAAAAAGAAACACGAATCGGGACGTTATCACACTTTTAACTGGTAATTTTTTAGGAGACAGGTGGAAAGGAGAGGATAAGGAATGACAGCTACTTATTTGGATCTATCGTGAAATATTTGATTGCAGAACAAATAAATTACTAAAAAATCAGTTATTTGAGTAACGAGTTAACAAGAGGCACCTAAAATGGGGGTTTCACCTTGGCTATTGTTTGATTAAAAGACAAAGGTAAGGCACAGGGTGATGCAAGATAGAGATCAGGCAAGTCAAAAATGCATCTTTGTCACCTCCTTTTCCACCCCTAAAAGGAGTAGTCAACCGCCCCTTCTCTACCCCACTTCCCCCATTGGGTGTACGTGACTGAGTAGCAGTGGTGCAGGATTCGGCAGCTCCTCAACTGCAACCAATCACAATACAATGGGGCAATTTCATGCCTGATACAGTGATTGCAAAAGAGATGGTCAAGAAGGCGAAAAAGAGGAAGACTTGGAAGGCGCACTTCTAAGAGCTCCCACAAAGTCATGGTCGGCTTAATTCGAAAACGTCATTCTATTCTAATCGAAAGTTAGCAAAAGTTATGGGTTTTTTCCTATTAGAATGGGATCGAGTTTGTTAAGAAGTTTAAACGCTTAAGCGGGACTGTAGATCCTCTTTAAAAATGGCCGAACAAGGCTTGGGTTTGCAACAAAATACACCCTCGAAATTGTTGAAGCGATGTCAATACATGTGGGCATTCAGTTTTTTACAGGATGGACACTTTAAATTATTTATTTACAAAAACCCCTACAAGGTCATACTTACGATAATTATGCAAGATAATGAATGCTTTCATTCCAAACAAATTAACTATTAGGGCATGCGATACAGAAAGGAAATTTCATCTTCATCCCACAGCAATTGATTTTTGAGATCTTAAAATAAAAATTTGGTGTCTAAACACTACTCATCATAATAAAACTTGAAAGGTCAAAAAAAACATCAGATCAAAATTGAACCTCTCAAAAATCAATTACCATTTTGAAATATTTACTTGTCATTAAATATGCCTATAACAATCGGGTATCCCATAAAAATTATCAAACAATAATGCGAAAAATACAGCTGTTGCTAAAGAGTATATCTAGTGTATGCAAATAATTTATTTAGAACAAAGCAACATAAATAACACAACTGCTGTAAAAATTGCCTTCAAAACATCTGAGAACAGCTTATGTTTTAAGTATATCACCCATTTTAGAAACATATTTTGGTCATAGAGACGGAGCAAATAACTCACCAGTGGTACCAAAAGCAAAAAAACATGTGCAAAGCAAATTATTATAAATTATTCAACTTTGTAAAACATGGATTTAGGCGTACACTCACGGTAAATGCGGATCCAGCCGATTTCCGGAATCGACAAACAGCCATTTCGGCCAATGCTCTGATAAGAATACCTCCGTCACCGCACGGAACAACAACTTTAGTTTCAGCAAAACTAACTGTGACCTTCATGATTTCGGCAAGAATACATTCCAGTCAGTGTATGAAGCATAAGTGAGGCTCCATCCATTGAAAATTTGGGGAAAAATCATCAAAAAAAGAATGAAACTGTAAACAGCGTTATAATAGATAAATTGATAGTCCTCTCATCAAACACTAACGTTTTTTTCGAAGAATTCTGGCACTGGGTACATTTTCTTGCACTAATAAAGTGTTAAAATGCTCATTAGTTATCGTTAGACCACAGACTCAGTACACGCTGAAGGTCAATGTCACTTTTGCCGCGGAGGCTGAGTGGCATGAAGCCCTTTAAAATTTGTGCGTATAAACAAAATTAAGACATAAGGCAAAAATAATAATAAAAAACTTTAAAAAATCGCTTTTAATTTAATATTTATTGTAAGGGCTTTAAAATTAAACAAACAAGATAGGTCAAAAAAGCTAAGCCAATTGTTTTGCTATTAAGTCTTCATTTTCGCGACTTGTTATTTGTTTTAATCCTTTCAGGCTAACTTTTGCTAGCACTTGCACATGTTCTCATTGAAGCTGCCCGACATTTTCTGAGGCCAGTGTGGTCATAATACTAAAACGGAATACGTATTGGTGACCTGCAGAAGAGGAGGGGATGCTGGCTAGGAGCGCGGGCCCAGCTGCGTGACGCAGGTATATCCCAAGTGACTTTCTTACAAAACCGAGGCTTTAAACAACAATGGCGCAGTCTGAATACCAGTCCACCAAACGAAGGCACATTCGCGGAGTCTCAAAGAAAACTCCTTACCAAATTCGGAATTCAAACAAATATTTAATATTTAAAATTTTTGAGTACACCTCCATGTGCTTTTCTCGGTTAATCTCTGTTTTAGACGTTACAACACTCACGAGTCAGTCGTATCAGTTATCAAACTTTATGCAACTAAAAAGATATTTGACCTCAGCGTCACTGATCCCTCTTAGCAATTCTACCAAGTCAGGAGTTCCGTCTTGCATGAGAAGTTGATTCAGGGACAGGGAATATGTTGGCCATCGCGCGTAGCCACAGGAATATTAGTCTTAGGGCAAAGTCATGTAGCAAATGAATAGGTGAAATTTCGCGCCTGTTTCTACTTGCTACGTTGTTTTAAATCAGGGGTGCCAAGTTAAATCCATCTGAGTTCTATCCAGCTAGTACTGGAGTGGTTGAGGTATCTCATTTCCACATAACTTATATTTTTATACAGAAATGATAAACAGCTCTGTAGCAGCACTTTTTTAGGCAAATTAGAGCTATTGTCACTTCCATAGGTAATATCTTTCCTGAAGACCATGGAACTGGGGTAGCTACCGAAAATGGACGTCATATTTAGCCTTTTTGTCGCGGGTCGCCACTAATTCTCCTATACGCATCGTGCTCACTTCCTTTGCCTTAATAAGGCTTATCACTTAATGCTTGAGATCAGAAAAGATGACCTTTAAAGTAGGCTTTGCTCTTTTATTCCGCCAATGCAGTGACATGAAGCTTTCAGCTCGTATTGGGGCTACTGGCATGGACCAAAGGCCAGCCTACCCGGTTAAGATGCAGTGGTCGAGAGCTGATTGTCATCTGTGCCAGAAATGAAAGTTAAACAAGTAGCTAATTACTATTTATTTAGAGGCAACTAATTTGACTTAATGTGCACATTACATCTGTTTGTGGGCAAAATTTTACGCTTCATAATATTTCACACACCTTCTAACATCAAATATTTGTCAGCACAACGCCCAAACAGGTATGACGCTTAAAAAATGTTGTTTTTTTTTCTATAAAACATAATTTATAGTTACCAACTTATTGCTCGTTAACCAAATTTCCATCGCTGTTTCACCTTTGAAGAAATCTACGACTTCCTCTAGCTCATTTATTTGGTCCAAATTTATTGACTATCTGTAGGTGTGACTTTCTGCTTTTAGAAATGAGCAGAATGATTGTAATTATAATGCACTGTGGCGTTTATACTAATCAGATTCCACAGCCCAGCTTCGGTGCGCTCAACATGTAGGACCTAGTAACGACTTTATAAGTTGTTCTGAAATCAATAAGTATCAATTTCGTCTGGCTAGTTTTTAATATATCATTTTTTTTGTATGCGCAATGTCACTAATGCACCTTCGTATCTCTTCATCATTCATTTCCCAAATTTCATGCTTATATTGTGCCAATACCCGGCGTTTAGACCCTTCTCATTGCTGGAAGGTTTCTCGATGCTCTTATATCACCTTCTTTCCTCCAGTTTCTGGGGAATCTCACGAGTTAGAAGGCGACTCAAGCATTTCTATTGCTGTGTCCTGGAGCGTCAATCTTATAAATTACTAAAAGGGTTGAGTGCAACTGTCTAGTTTTCCGTCAACTTCAAACCACTTCATGTTCCTTCTTCATGCCCTGCGTTTCATCCTCAGTTTTGATTCAATAAGCCCCAGCCCATCATTCATTCCTCTAAAATATTGCCACTAATTTTTAATTTTTTGGTCTCAAATCACTCATACTGCATCAGACATCTGTTAGTTGGTCCCACCCGCAGCTATTCAACCTCTCGCCATCGCTTATTTAGCACCTTCCTCATGGCAACTTCAGTCAACAAAGTCAGCTCTAGGTGAATGGAGTTCCAACCCACTTTTCGGTACGCTTTTTGAAGTTATCTAAAACCGCCTATTCTTAATTATTTTCGTCCAGACATTTGCTAAAGGCACTTTAAGTGGATTTACACTCAAGTTCTCTTTCCAAATTTGGCATCACCTCAGGTACGGAGTCGAAAGCTGGGCTTCAAGTCTTTTTCCAACCGTTTGTCAAAGGCTCCATTTAGTCTTTCTTAAGCTACTTCCTCGAAAATAGTCAATAACTTCTCCAGAAATGGGTTCACATTATATTATTTCAGCGTTACCTTTGGTTTTTTTCTAGACACTAGACCATCAAACATCACTAGCCATGCGTCCTAGCACCTCCAAACTTCCACCGACCGGACAACCTCTCCCCGTCGGCACCGCCACCCGACTAACCACTGGCCTCCGCCAGCGTCTCACTACTGCAGCCGCTGCCGGCTCCTCCTCCGGTACCTCCGCCCTTAACACTGAACTGAGCATCGAAGACCGGCCGATCACTGCGCAGGGCCTTAAAACTGCCCCAAAAGGGCCTCAACGCTGGCGCCGACAGGTGGAGGATCGGGCCTACTTTATTGGAGTGCTTCGAGGCCACATAAACGCGATCACCGGCGAGTTGAACATCATTGTCGCGCAGCATGAAGAAGCGGAGAAGGAAGCGCAGAGCTTTGTACAGTACGAGAAGATGGCAGAGGCATTGGCAGCCGAGTTGAGGGCACTTCAGGTGCAATTTTAAACACTTTTCCAGCTCTCTGTTTCAGGTTGGAGAGATTAGGTTCTTTGTTTGCATTTAAACTGCACAAAATTGATTCTAAAAGTCGAGAATTTCAGATCTTTGAGCATTCTGTGTTCTAGGATTTGGCTTAAATTCACTATTTGTTTTCCTCTTCCTAGTTGCATTGAGTCTAACTCTGGGATTTGGTAAATAAACTTGGGGTTTTGTTAGCTTCTGTACTTCATAAAATTAGTGAACCATGAATTAGACGATAATTCCAATAGTCCCCCATTCTCCCAACTCTTCTGAATTTCCATACATGATGGATGCGCTGACGCATGGATGATGGATATGGCAATGCAGCGCCATTGCCCTCTTCAGACATACCCCATTTGACCACCTTATACATCGATCGTTACTTCCATAAAATCGTTGTTTCCTTCCCTTATTTTGAGGGTGAATTAGGCGATTACAACACACTGGTCGACAAGGCAACTCTGGGTCACGACATCTCCACAATCGAACTGGACTGGGAAGATGTGAAGGCCGCTAATGAGAGAGCAGAAATGACGCTCGAGCGATTTTTCGAGGAGCGCAAGAAAAAGGAGGCTCAATTGAAAGCGTTGGAATTGGAAATTGAGCAGGTAGGCCAGGGTTGGTTGGTAAACCAGGAAGCGAACTGAAGTACACCTGATTCAATTGACACTTTATGATGATTCACACTGTTGATTAAATCTTTACTCATTATTCAGAATGTAGAATAACTTCACTTTTAATGCAAAAAAAATTGATATTAAAAAAGTCGGAAGAGAAGTCATTTATTGACTTTGATATGAGTCTGAAAGTTCTATCAAGATCATTAAGTAGGTAGTATCTCAGTAGTGCTTTCTGAAAGCACTGAAGGTAAGGACCAAAATAAACTGAATGACAACAGCAGCTCTCTTCTAACTTCTTTTCTTATCTACACTCTGTAGGAAAAGAAGATCGCCGAGAGCGTTGTGGAGGAGATGAATGACGAACAGAAGGCAGCCTATCTGAAATTACGCGATTTTAACGACCACCTTCTTCAACAACTGACCATCGGACAGAACAAAATCGCTCAAATGTCCGCGCGTCGAAGTGAACTGGAGACTGATATCTCCACTTCTAAGGTGACTTTGACAGGAATACATGAAAAAGTCTTAGATTCGTGGTTTCTTTTTGCAAAGAAGAAAGGTGCCCGATAAATTTCCAATAAACGACTTGAAAATGCTGATATTTTTACTCCCAACTTATCGATAAAATTGGTTGTTCAAGTGTTTGCCCATTTCCAATTTCACGCATCTAATCTGAGAAATTACTTCCATAGGTCATATCTATCTCGCCCCCGCTAGAAATAACTAACTAAAAAGCTACCCGTGAAACCATGACCCCTACTCAAATCATTTCAGTAGCACGTTTCAGATCAAGCAAGAGGCAATGCGCATATTGGGCCAACTGCGGGAGGTAGAGGCTAAGAGGGACCAACTGCAAGCTGAAGAGGCCAACAAGGAGGATCCTCAGGCTGAACGGGAGCGTCTACTGGCCAAGGTAAAGGAGGACAATCGGGAGACGGCGAATATGGACAGAGAGTATGTCAGTCTACGTTACTTAATATGGGTATCAGTAGTACCGGTACAGTGGGGAGATGGAAATGCATCTCACATACCCGTTTCAGACGATCTAGTGGAGTTTTTTGTACCCCAATTTTACCCGTAACTGGGGATAGACGTGGTGGTTCCTTCGACCACAATTCTTTTCATTTCGGATTTGAATGGAGACGGCAATGAAGGTTGTAGTAACTGATAATTCACTGGTCTAATAAGTAGTACAAATCTCATATCTTCTCCTTCAAAAGAATCCGCGAACTCAATGAAATGATTTGTTCCGATGAGTCCACTCTGCACCAACTCACCACCCAACTGAAAGACGACAGTTCCAACGAGCGTACACAGAAGATTTGGGAGCTCCAACGACGCGAGGCTCAAATTGAAGCCTTCCTCACCTCCTATGAGACCGCGCGAGCCGAGGAGGTCGAAGGATTGGCTTCAACCGAGGATCAGATTGTTCGCGCACTGGAGCGCTGCGCACAGTACGTGGTGAGTACAGAGCAGACAATGGAAATGAGGAGCAGTGGTGGTGGGAATGGTGTGGAGGCAGTTGCGGATCAATTGAAGTTCAAGACACGGGAGATGAGCAAGTCGGCAAACACGGCAGAGGCTTTGGATGCCGAGAGAACGAGATTGCAGAGAGATTTGCAGAAGATTGATCAGTTGGAGGGGAAGATTACTCAGGTGAGAGAAAGGACTGTCAACCAGTTGTTGCGCCGAAGCGAGTAAACACTGACTGCTTTTTGGTACTAGGAGTTGCAGACGCTGAAGAAGAATATCGCCTCAATGGAGGCCGATTTGAAGAAGTTCAATGACCTCACCTCAGTTGGCGAAGCCACGGAGGAGAAAAAAGCATCTGTAAGTTCTTTTTAAGGTACCACATATTTTCGGATGTTTTGGGTCTCCTCTGACGTTGTGACAAACCGTGCCAACGTCGAATGCAATCCATTGTTGGCATAGAAGAGCCGGAAGGCTATGGAAGGGGCTGAAGAGCCATATAGCTGAAGCGGATGGGGAACATGCAGAGACTGAAGAGCCCCGCATAGCTAAATTGCATAGTTGAACAAATTGGCGACTCATTCCCGTTCACGTTCCTTCTAAATATGAGATTGAGGAAGGGGTAGTCAGGTGGTCGTGACTCTGACAACCCTCCAGCCGCCTGTGACGGCCGTCCCCTTCAGTGATGTAAAAGTTGGCTAATCAAGACAGGCAGCTGCTTTCATTGACATCTTTGCTAAAATAGCGCTCCAAGCCTTCTCAGGAGTCTAGATAAGTCACACCTGTATGGCAGAAGAGAATTGGGAGGCCAGTATGGACGGTTGAGAGGCCACGCCATCCAGACAGAAATCCACCCTACGATAATTTGTAGAGTTTGCATAATTAAGAGCACCAATACCTCCAGAAATATTAACGCATCCACAAATATGCCAAGCAGTTCATGCAAACCAAGAGTCCCTAAAAAATGTCTTTAATTTTGACTGATTCCCACCGTATTCTCCTCTCCCAGTTGATGCAGGAGCAGGAGCATCTGCGAGAGACTCGGGAAAATCTCGCCACCCTCACTACCCAACTGACAGACGCGTGTACAGCTGTTGAGGTGCAGCTGAACGCCCAAGAGACGCATCTTCAATTGTGCTCGCTGGAGAAGCGATTGGTGGCAAGTGAACAGACCCGCCGCGCATTGGCAGAGAGTGTGGCGAAGAAACGAGCTGCCTGTGATTTTGCTCCAGCCACTAAGAAGGCACAAGGCCTCCTAAAGGATTACAATGAAGCCCTCAAGGCCGCACTCAAGGTCAAACCGGTGGGAATTTGATGTGTACCTTCGATGAGTTGGTTGAAAATATTTGGAATAAAAATGGGAGGAAGTTGAAAGATTACTCTTTTCGGCATTCGCCTGTCAGTCACACCTGCCAGAGGCAAAAGAACTGATTGGGTTAGTTGAAATACAAGCTCTTTGACGTCGTTTTAGCTACATTTTTCCTTCAGTTCAATGAAAACCAGGAAAAATGAATTTTAATAGGGTTCTGATACCACTTTCCCTGGATTTTAATCATTCGTGTCATAAAAAGTCAACTGGGTTTCGAGGTAGTCCCCTTCATTGTCTCCTCTGGACTCCCCTCACATAGGTTGCTTTTCTAGACCTTAGACACTAAGTGAGGCGGAAGAGGAGGGAGGCCGGAGATGGAAAATCACATGTAAGCTTGTATTTCATTTCCAAACCGCGGCATTCACGTGGGGTCTACCGGCTTGGCCCCCTCCCCTCTCTTGCAGGACTTTTTCAGTCGATTTGAAATAGCCAAATCATTTAATCACTCACGTCACCAATGACAAGGTCCTTCATCACCAAGCGTGTAAAATTTTGAAAGGACCTACTTCCTGTGCCATGCAATTCTTCCAGATGGTAACCCAGAGCGGGTCCTTCGTAGTGGTGAATGGACCTAGTCGAGCATTTGAGGCACCAGTACAGTGATTTTGGTGGAGCCGCTGACCACGTATACCAACGGAAAGTGAAGTGGGCCTGTCTGCCAACGCCTTCGGCTCATAGGGCGCAGCGCAGGAAGAAACGCTCCTCCCTCCTCTTTAGTGTCGTTGACGAATGCCATTTCGGACACCTTCATTCAGAATTGGTACTTTCGACGTAATAGACAAGTTGTAAAGTAGCAGGTTCAAGCGCTCCTGCCTGCACAAAAAAGCTGGAAGAATGAGACCTAAGAAAAGTCGTTTTTATAGGCAATTCCTCCTTCACACAACGCTCACAATTGAACACCGGCTAGCCGTTGCCATCACCTACCAGACAAGTCCTTTTATGATACAGTAGATATGATCAAGTCCATGGAGCACTGTGGTACTACGTTAATCAAATTCAGTCAGAGAAAAATGGGAAATTAACTCTACAAATTTAATGCAAACTCACCCACCAACGATGTGTCATGTGTTTTCTCGATTTTGTTGACTAAAAACTATTGCTGCTGTATTTTCGTGCGTCCGTCACGTGAAGAAAATCACCTACCATCAGTTAGCGCTTCAGATTGAGAAGTCACATGTGAACGCAATTGGAGGAAAGGAGAGGGGTTCACATGGTCTCCCTTTCCCCCCCCCCCATTGTGCGATTCAACAATCTCCACCTTCCGCAGCAGGCGCCCTCCG